CCTTGAATGAGCTACCTGCTTCTTTCATTTTTTGTTCTATTTGAGGTCTCAGCCTATTGGACAGTGCTATTCATGTTCAGATCAAGCCTTCTCCACTCAGTTTGGTGACCCATGTCCAGTTGTCTCTGGAAAGGCCTTCACAGAGAAAACCACAATCACACATTACCAAATTTCTAGGTGTCTCAATTCAATCAAGTTGACAAACAAGATTAACCATCACAATGCATGAATTAAAGATTGGGAAAGATTTGGTAATTGGTTAAATATGAAGGAGTCCTAAAAGGTCTTTGCTTTCTGACTTGGATAACCATGCTGACCTTGTCATTAACTGACAGGGAATATGGGTAGAGTAGTAGGTCACAGAAATAGAAAGCATGATTTAGGAATCATCTTAGTCTTTACTGCTGTTATAACAGAATGCCACAGAATGACTAAAGTATAAACAATAGAACTTAACAGACACATAGCTCTAGAGTCTGGGAAACCCAGCATGGATAGGCCACATCTAGTGAGGGCTTTCTTGTTGTCTCATATGGCAGAAGGCTCGGTACTAACAAGAAAGGGAAACTGGACTGGGCTCATTTTTTTTTTTTAATCAGGAGCCTACCACAGTAAGGATGTTAATCCATTCATATGGACAGCCCGAATGATTAAATCACCTCTTAAAGGCCCCATTTTACACATAATTGCAATTAAATTTCAACCTAAATTTGGGGTGTGGTATTGAAACCGCAGCAGAGAGTTGTCTGGTTATCTAACAAATCACCTTAATACTTAAGTGATGTAAAACCACTAACAATTTATTTGCTCCTGGATCCTAGTGACTAAGACCTTGGAAAGGACTATATTCTATGATGTCTGGGACTTTAATTGGGAAGAGTCAAGTGAAATCACTTCAGTACTGGGCACTGGAATCACTTGGACATTTCGTCTCTCATTATTGGGGCATGGATGGTGGTGGCTGGAAAATGAGGTCCAGAACTATAGAAAATTTAGTAGCATCTCTAGCCTCTAGATACTAGATGTAAGAGCAATCAACATGCACAGCAGGGACAACCAGAACATCTTCCTGAAATTGCCAAACACCTCTGTGGAGAATTTCTTCTATGGCTGAAGGCCAGTTGGCCATGGGTCTAAAAGTTTTTTGTGGGGAGGGAGTGTAAATCATTATATAAGGTGCCTCAGAATGTATGGAACAGGATCAGTGGCTCAAGGTTGAAGAGAGCAAGAGAGTACAAAACTTTAAGAAAAAAGAAAAAATATCAAAAGAAATGTCAGGTGTGATGTTTGATCTTGATTGTCAACCTGTTGGATTGAGAAACACATTGGAAATTTGTAAAACACACTTTGGGTGAGTCCATTAGTGCATTACTAGAGATAATTGGCACATGGAACAGTAAACTGTGGAAAGAGACCTGCCAAATTGCCCATGTATGATTTTTTGATAGCAGCCATTGTTTGTGGGTGGGGTGGAATCTCAGTGTTGTTTTTAATCTGCATCTCTTGAATGACCAGTGATGTGGAACATTTTTTCATATATTTACTTGCCACTTTTACTTCTTTGTCTGAGATATGTCTCAGACATTTCAGATGTCCATTTTTGAATTGGGTCTTTATATTTGGTGGGACTGATTGTTTTGAGTTCTTTATATATTCTAGATAATAGTCCTTTGTCTGAGGAGTAGCTGGTAAAATTTTTCCCACATTGTAGGTTACCTCTTAGTTCTTTTTATGGTTTCTTTTGCAGTGCAGAAGCTTTTTAATAAGATGAGATCCCAGTTGTTGATTCTTTGTGCTAGTTCCAGTGCTACTGAGGATTTATTCATAATGTCTTTTCCTATGCCAATGTCTTCAAGAGTTCTGCCTAACTTATCTTCCAGCTAGTGTTTCTGTTTTAATATTTAGATCTTTATTCCACTTGGATTTTAATTTACAGATACCTTGAAAGGGATGATTGTGGTACAGTTTTCTTGGTCTTCCATTGTTCTACAGAGAAACACCAGATGAAGTCTGAGAAAGTTTTAGAAAGTGTAAGGTGTTTTAGGAGTGCCAGAAATCCTCTTCAGGTATGAGGAAGGCCCCACTAACTTCCCTTAGGAATCTGTTCCTCAGCTGCCAGCCCTGGGTGATCTTTATCAGACTTATCATCTGGTGCTGCTATCAAGAAATCACACAACAACAAATGTTGGCGAGGTTGTGGGGAGAAAGGAACCCTTTTCCATTGTTAGTGGGAGTGCAGACTGGTGCAACCAGTATGGAAATCAATATGGAGATACATCAAAGAGCTGGGATTAGAGGTTCCATTTGACCCAGCCATAGCTCTGCTGGGTATCTTTCCAAAAGAATTAAAAGAATTATATCACAGTGACATATGCACACCTATGTTTATAGCAGCACAGTTTGTAATAGCTAAAACTTGGAAACAGCCCATTCGCCCATCAGTTGGAAACTGGATAAAGAAGATGTGGTTTTTAGAGTCATTCATAGGAAAATGGATACATTTTGAGGATATACTCCTAAGTGAAATAAATAAGTCACACATGTGTAAATACTGAATAAAGAATTGTTTCTGGTGTGAAAAACTATAATAGTACACAAGATCCTAATGGGAAAATTAACAATGTGAAATAGGAAGAAAAGGGCTAAAGGTGTAGGGAAAGTGGAAAGGGTAGGGAAAAACTAATAAGGGAAAAGAAAAAAAATATGAGAAAATGGAAATAAAGTGTTTGTAAATGGGGAGGGGAGAAGGTGGTGAAGGGAGGGCAGGGACAAGGGGAAAAAATGAGAACCAAGACCTGTCAAGTAAAGGTGCAAGATCCCAGTATTGAATGTAACTGTACTGTATACCTAGAATGTATGAATAAACTCAATAAAAAGAAAAAAAGATATCTGTCTTCTGCTGACTTCTGAGCTGGATAAGCTGCAAAACTGTGTCAACTATGCACAGACACAAGCTATCAGCTTTGTGGGAGCTTGGTTAGTAGTTACCTGGGTGCCCCCTCCTAAAGCCTCCTGGGCTCAAAAGTGGAGCTTTTGAAAGGTGATTTTATTATGGGAGCATTATAGTTAAACGTAATGTTAGGAGATGGTCGGAAGAGGTGGTAACTGGGAGAAAGGGCTGGAAGGGTATATCTCCTTCTCCAGCTCTTTCCTTTATTCTCTGCTTCTGGGAACCATGAAGGGAGCAGCTATTCATTTGCCATGGCTCTGTGCCATGCCATCTTTCCTTGGAGCCAGCTGACAATAAACTGAAACTTCTTCGAACTGTGTGCCTTTCCTCCTTTCAGTTGTGGGTGTTGGGTATTGGGTCTCACCAACTCAATATGCTATAGTGGTACAAGTGTGATAGTTTCACATGCAGCAGAAGAAAATAACAGCAGCATAGAAAAGGCAGAGCTGAGAGTCAAGAAGGACCAACTTTTGACAGCATTTGAGCCCCTGAGGTCAATTATCCCTGAAGCCAGATCTAAATCTTTCCTTCAAGTTTTGTGAATCTTTCTGCTGCAGAGGCAAATGTCCTATAAAGAAACAGAACCAGGAGTAGAGTGATAAACCTGACATGTGAAACGGGGTGAGTCATGGTAGGGAAGGTTGAAAAGCTGGAATTCTCATTACATAGAGTAAAGAGGATGGTTAAATTATTACCTAGTATATTTTGTACATTAGATAAATACTTCCACCACCCTAATAAGGAGATTAACATGGACTCAATAGAATAGTATCAGGATAGCGGAGTGAAGACTGGAGCCCAGAGCCCTCTGAAGCATCTCCTCTACTGTAACCACCACTTATCAAAGGTCATAATCCTTCCTTCTAAACAGCTTTGGATATATCCTGGAGATCAAAGTAGCTTCCAATTGTGCCACTTTTCTAAGAGGCAGAGAACAAGAAAATGATGTCAGTCTAAAGCCCAGGAAAATGGGATAATTTCCGCTATTGTTGCTGTGGGGCTAAAATTACAATGTTGGAAATTGCAATTTAGAGGCACTGATGGAACAAGATTTTGACACTTGTTATTGGCCAAAATGAGGCCGCCCACCAAGGGTTTAGTCATCCTCGGCAACCAGAGATTATGACTGCTTGATTCTTAAAGACAGCCCTCCAAATCCCTTTAATTGAGAGTGAATCTCTAAGGAGTAGAGACCCCATTAGAAGAAGTCTTCTGTCCATTATCTTAGGCATAGTGACAAAATCAATGGGCAGAAGAGAGTCTCCCAATAGGAATGCTTTAGATCATCCAGATAGGCTGACTAAGGAACCTAACCCAAGGCAAAAGAAGGAAGCCAACATCTCATGGCTCCTGTTTACCCATCTAGAGGATGTTGCTTCCTCTTCTTCACCTCATTTCTAATATGGCACAGTCGTAACTTCTCTACCAACTTCCTTCTCTACCAGTTTCCTCTCTCTCTGTGGGAGCCATCATCTTATCTCTAGCATTAGATAAGTCTTCCATTCCTCTATCTGCTTAACAATAATTCAACTATAGTGAGACTCAACATATAATCAACAAAAATGAGTAGGCCACAGGAAGCATTACTCCATTTTAATCCTCAAGGGGCGTGACAAAAGCCCATAGTCACCCATATATAGGGGCGGTCATTTAAGCTAAGTGTAACCAAAGAGACAGACATGAAACAAGCAAACAAAAAACACTTCATGTAACATTTATTTTTTTAATCCCATCTTAATTTTGGCTTTAACTCTCACCTGCCATTATTCACTTGTTTCTTGGAAAATCAATTTTTTTAAAAAACAAAGTGTTTAACATCATGATTATTTGGAATCATAATAAACGCTTCTCTCCAAAGGGGGAGGATACACAACTTTTATTCTTATGCAGCATTTTCAAATATGCATGTCCATATATATATATATATCATAAACGATTTAAAATAAAAACCCTTCATCCTCTGAGATTATTGACATTTTCTAGTTCACTGACACATCTCCCATAATACAATAATTCTGTTCATTTTCATGAATGAGGTGGGGACTACACTAAAAAATAGGATTTTAATCCCTGAGGTGCCAGTTAAAATGGAGAGGTTGCCATTGCAACACAATTTTTTTAAAAAAACTAGCTTTAAATAATAAGCATAGATCATGCTATCTGGATGGGAATCTCCTCCATAGAATGGAGACATTTAGAAAATGGCATTTCCTGGGTCAAAGTCACCCTGATATCTCCAGCTGTCATACTATGAGAATCTTTCCTTTTGAAAAGGAATAGCACATAGCAATGAAGTCTGCAGAAACTTCTGAGATCCTCAGAAATGGAGAAATCATAGTCCTGTTTCTCAAATCTCCATCTACAGTGTTGGAGACTGGGTTTCAGCACCATTCCAAAACCGGAAAGGTTGATGAACCAACTTGGTTTTTCTTAAACTCCATAGAGCAATCCAAAGGAGAAACCAGTTCTCGTTAGAAAACTGGCATGTCCTGCTTTTCTTTGCCATCACATTAGAGGAGCTGGGTTCAGCTCCTTGTGCCCACCGCCCCTGCAGACTCTCCCCTTTCCAGGCAGCTTCCGGGGGTGTTACTGCTGCTCCCCTAGTAGTAGCGGTTCAGGCTACGGGTGCCAGGCACTTCCGGCTGGCCATTCATCCAGATCTCTCTGATGATGCGTTCCCGCTCCTCCAGCCGCTGGGCGCGCTCCAGCTCCTCCGCAGACGTGAACACATTCTTGTTCAAAGTCCTCTCAAAGCGGCGGTGTCTCCGCACTGACCTGTCGGATGTGGTGTCCGAACTGTCCTCCTCACTGTCACTGCTGTCGCTGCTGCTGTTCTCACCGTCCTGTGGGAACTTCCTGCGGGGACCTCGCCGGCAGTCTGCGTGGCAAGAGATCTTCATCACCAAGGCAGCCAGGGTCAGGACCAGCCCAATGCACACGCCAGAGACAAAGTACAGAGCTGCTCGCTCAGGGTTTTCTGCAGAAAGCAGAAGAAAAAAAAAATCATTTGAGAGGTGACAACTTCATATGCAGACCAAATGGAAAGGACTCCTGTCCACACCTCTTACCAGAACCCAAGTTTGATGAGTACCAATGCTGCTCTCCTGTGTGACAAATTTCAAAATATTGTTATCGACAAAAGGTGAATCTGCGGGGGAAAGGATATGAGACTATTTTACTCTCCTTTCAATTTTAACCTAGAAATTATTTTCAAATGAAAAGTTAAAAGAAAGAAAACGTAATTATTTAGCACTGACTCTATGCAAAGCATTTGTGCTTAGGTGTCATTTTTGCTTAAGAGTGATAGTTTAAGAGTCTGAAGACTCTCATGTGTACCAAAAGTTTTTTGCTTGTGAATTTACTCAAGCAACCCCTTGAATTTCCTTTCAATCACTGTGACAGGCAGCTTCTGGGATGATCCCACCTCCTGGTGTCCACACTCTTGGGCAACCAATGTCCTTTTCCAGTAAGGGGTGGACCCAGGCACTTACTTCTAAGAAACAGAATGTGGTAAAAGCAAGGGTGATTCCAAGATGAGGCTGCATAAGGTTGTGATTTCATCTTACTCATGCTTTCTCTGTCTCTCTGGTTTTCTTATTTGCTAACTCTGATAGAGCCAGTTGCCATGACAGCTGCAATACAGGGAGGCCCAGGTATCAAGGATCTAAGGGTGACCTCCAGCCAATGGCCTTCAAGGACCTGAGTGACGCAAACAGCCATGTGTAGGAGCTTGGAAGTGAATCATCCCTTGGTCCCTGGCCTTGCAGCAGCCTGGTGGGAGACCTTGAGCTAGAGGACATTGATAAGCTGCACTCAGGTTTCTGAATCACAGAAACTGAGAGGTATATGCATGCGGTGTTTAAACTACTAAGTTCTGGGGTAGTCTGTACTTAGCAACAGATAACTTCCACTGCCAATCACACGTCTACAGCCAGAATAGGCATTTAGGAATGAGCTTATCAAGTTAAATGAAAGAAGAGGAAAAATTTGAGCTCTTCCTGGGGAAAGAAGAATGTAACTGTCCTGGTGATAAGCAATATGCTTAGTGAGCCCAGTGGTGAGTCCTGTAAGATGTGCTCCATAGAAGGAGTACCTTGGGGTGAACTTCTGTCCCTTCCTAGGGGCCAGGGATTTGGCTCAGTGGTTCTGCTGCCTGCCTTGCAAGCACAAGGGCCCAAGTTCGATCCCTGGCACCAAAAAAATGAAAAAACCTAGGAATGTGTGAGAATAGAGAGCATGCTTGACCTGAGTCTCGGGGCATGGTCAAGCCCACAGGTTTGGGACAGACATCAGCAAATTAACTTTCCGTATTCCAAATTCACTTGTAAGTATGAATAAAAATGTATATTGTTTTTGGGTTTTACATAAGTGGGATCATAGATGACACACATTTGCTTTTTAAATATGAGGAAATTTCTTAGAGATTTATCAGAAGAAATGGTATATATGGCCAATAAATATATGAAAAATGTTTAACACCTCTGGCCATTAGACAAGTGAAGATTAAAATAACATTTGTATTTACCTCACTCCAGAAAAATAGCTGTCATCAAGAAATCAAATAATCATAAATGCTGTGAAAACTGTGGGGGGGGAACCCTTCTACATTGCTTGTGGGAATGTAAACTAGTACAACCACTACGGAAATCAGTATGGAGATTCCTGAAAGAGCTAAAAATAGAAATTCCATTTGACCCAGCTATTCCCTTTCTAAGTATCTTTCCAAAAGAGTTAAAGACAGCACCTCACAAAGATACATGCACACCCATGTTCACAGCAGCGCAATTCACACTAGCTAAATCTTGGAAGTGGCATATATATCCATCAACAGATGAACACATAATGAAAATTTGGTGTTTATATGCAAATGAGTACTACTCTTCCATAAAGAAGGCTGAATTTTAGTCATTTATAGGAAAATTGATGCACCTTAAGATCATACTTTTTAAAATTAATTTTATTGGTACATTTTATATATACAATATAATGACATTCATTGTTGGAAATTTGTACCTTTACGTAATCAATCTTGGTTGTTATTCTCTCCCCATTCCCCTGACCTCCCTTCAACCCCTCCCTTTCTCCCTCCCAATCTACAAAGATTTTGTTTCCATTATTTTTCATTTTCTCATATTAATTCCATTCCCTTCTTTCCTTTCCCCTACCCCTCCTGTTTCTCCTTCCTCTTTGTCCCTTTTCTTCCTATTTCACATTATCTATTATACCTTTTAGTCCTTATTTACACCACCATGCACTAAACTGTAATCAAAATGGATTAAAGATCTAAATATTAAAACAGAAACACTAAGTTCGCTGGAAGAGAGGTTAGGTAGAACTCTTGAAGACATTGGTGTAGGAAAAGATTTTATGAACAAAACCTCAGTTGCCTGTGAGTTAGCACAAACAATCAACAAGTGGGATGTCTTCTTATTAAAAAGCTTCTGCACAGCAAGAGAAACAACCAACAGTGTGAAGAGACAATCCACAGTGTGGGAAAAATTTTTCACCAGCTATTTCTCAGACAAAGGGCTACTATCTAGAATATATAAAGAACTTAAAAAAAATCAAATTTAAAGACCCAATCCAACAATGGGCATTTGGAATGAAAAGATCATACTTTTAATTGAAATAAATTGGACACACCAGCTTAAATATCACATGGTTTCTTTTATATGAGAAACCCAAAATATAAATGAAGAGCAAAATAAAAGCTAGCTAATAGGACAAAAGGAGATAAATCTTCTGTAAAAGGGAAAGTGTCCAAGAAGTGGAGGAAGAGGAGAGGAAAGGGAAGAGAATCAAAAAAAAGAATTAAGATTTGTTATGTATATGTACAAACTCCCCATAAGAAATGTAATGATTACTGGTATGTGCTGCAAACATATACTTGTAAGAAGTAAAAACTGGAGTAAAAAAGATTCAACTTAAAAAAACATATTTCTTAAAGAAATTTCCAGATCTGTGTATTTAGGTCAACAGCATTTTTCTACTGTTGCATAGTGTGCACAACTTAAAAAAAAAAATTGCATAGTACTATTATGGCATAGGCCTACTTAATTTATTCAATCATTTGTTTACCAATAGCATATACTTGCTTTATTAAATCCTTTATATCATCAACACCAAGCTGCAAACTAATCTTTTTCTTTTTTTTTTTCCTCCTCCTCCCTGCCTTCCTCCTTTCTTCCTTTTTGGTTGTCTGCAATGAAATGAAAGCCAGGGACAAGAGTGGTTAGAACTTCCTCAGATCATAGGCAATTAGAAAGAACCAAGCAAACAAACTCAAATCTCCCTACTTTCAAAGTCTAACCCCTTCTCATTTTTTCCTGGTGTTTCTAAGGGATCAGTGTCAGTGTTGGGGTGCTGTATATCACCTGAGGCTGTTGGGAGGATCAAAGTAGACAATACAGGTGGAAATGGCTGGTAAACATTCATTTCTGAATAAATTACAAGTGGTATTCTCAAGAATCATTTACTTCACCATTTATGTACCCCTCTGTCAGGTGCCAGGGGGCCACAGGGACACCCATGGCACCAATCTGCATTACTCTATGATTAGCTCATGCCTGCCTCATTGCAATTAATATGCACAAAGTGTATAACAACCTGCTATTTGCTGAAATATTGGAATGGGCCTGAATACCATCTAGATTTTAGAGAAAACTCAGGATGTGCTTAAGTTTTCAGATACAGGACATGTGACTTGGGATAAATGAAGCCCTGGATATGGCCTCTTATGATTTGGTTAAATCCAATCTTTGTCCTCCTTTTATGAAGTAGAAGGAGGGCTCTTTCCTTTATTAGTCAGGTGACCTAAGGCCAATTCCAACCTCATTGAACCTCTAGGTGGATAAAATAGGCACAAGACAAACATAATCAGAGCCAAGTGCCTCTGAGTGAAATAACAAATGTGTGCAATAATGGAGACACCACTGGGAAGGCTCAGAGAGCACAGGACTGCTCAGAAACCAGGGCATGGAAGATCAAAAAGGAATGAAAGGTTCAGTCAAGGGTGGGCTTTATTAAAAGCTAGTTTCAGTGATAATTTAAAAGTAAAATTCACTGAGATAAAACAAAATGAAAATCCATTTGCTAGAAAAACAGGTTCTCCTACTTATCAGGGCCATATCTTGGCCATATTTTGTCTTATCTGCTTTATTCATAGTTCTCTAAGAGCTCTTTTGCTCTAAAACAGGCTTGATTTTGCTTCAAACGTCCACCCCTAAAACAAAAGCAGTCCACCCTAATTAATAACAGAGTTGATTTTCTGCCACCAACTGCAGGAATAAGGTCAATGTACTTGAGGTGACAGCGGGTCAGGCTCCTCCCTCTGTCCACACACCCACTTGTTTTAGGCCACTGACTGCCTAAATCTCTGTGGGTCTGAAAAGGCCTTAGCGACTCCTCACTGCTCCGTGCTTTCCCCCACATAAGCAGTCCTCCCAGTGGGGATACATGACTAGAAGGCAAACAGGTACAGATGGGTTCTTTTTTAAATCAGTTTCCAGACCTTCAATGAGCATTTTTTTTTCTTATATTGGACCTGTCAGAGGAGGCACCCTGGTGGAGCAACATACTCACCGGCCTCACACTCTAGCCGTGGCCCTTCCCCATCCCATCCTCCCCACAGGCCCCCATCTCTCATCCACAGAAGGCTGACTCCCTCCCACATCCTGAATCCTATCTCAGCATTCTGCCCCTGGAGGCAAAACTGAAGCAAAATAACTCAAAATATTAATGTCAATGTTAGGAGGCCAATGTTGCCTCTAATGACTGGGAATTATATCCTTTTCCTACTCTGTTTCTCATTCTTGGTTTCCAACAAGACAGATGGAAGGCCTAGTCACGTTGCCATCGGATAAATCATTAAAAATAATTTTGGATGACTCTGATCCAAAGTGACTTTGATCACTCTGATTTTTGGCATAGACAACAAATTTAACTCCAAGACTTGAGTGACCTTATTATAATAAAACT